TTAATATATTTTAGAGGGTTTAAAAACAATGATCTGGATGTAGAAGTATGAGGCATGCTGAAACTGAAGATGTTTCCTGGGATTGGAGGCTTGTAAGCATACGAATCGTACTTCTTAAGAAACTGGTATCTTTTAGGTCTCACCTTAGGTTTGCTGGTTTTCTCTCCCTGTCCTGAGGACTCTCAGTATTCAGATGAACTTTTTGCTGAATACTCAAAAAGACTGAGTCAGGGTTAGTAACTCTAGGGGAACAATCAGGTTTTGCTCCTCTTAAAGCACCCTTGACAGCTTACAGAGAAAAGGAGATGGACTGAAGCCAGTTGGTTTCTGGGGTGGTCTCCTGGTGGGAGAGTGGGGTGGGGTGGGGAAGTCTGTGTCTGATGGGTGAACAGAGTTGCCACAGTTGTGGGCTCTGTAACAGTCCTAATAAAGGTGATTAAGGAATGGGTTCTTCATATTTCTCTGCTTCTAATATATAAGTGCATAAACAGTCAAACCTAGTTAGTTGTAGAGAAAACTGCAAGATTTGTGCTTTAACTTTTGGAAAGTTAAATTTTTACACATATGAGTTGATTATACTGGTATGCTTTGGGCAACACTAAGAATTACACCTGTGGTCATTGCCATGACTACTCTGGTAGTACATTGAGATTCCATTTAACCCCAATCAGAGTGGCTGTCATCAACCGTACAAAAATAATGAATGCTGGAGAAGAGGTGGGAGAAAGGAATCTTCCTGTATTAGTGGGAATGTAAACTAGTACAACCACCATGGAAACCAATATGGAGATTCCTCAAAACAGTAAAATAGCAATGCAATTTGACCCAGCTATACCACTCTTGGATCTATTCCTGATAGAATTAAGGACTGAATACTGTTGGGATACATACACGTGTGTAGTAGGCAATTCCCAGTAGCTAAGATGAAGAAAAGTCTAGATATCTGTCAACAAATAAAGGGAAAAAGCAGATGTAGCCTATGTCCATAATGGAATATTACACAACCATAATAAAGAATGAAATCCTGTCATTTATAAGAAAATAGAGGGAATAGAAACCATCATATTAAGGGAAATTTCTCAGAATGAGAAAGGTAAATATATTTTTCTCATGTGAGAAACCTAAAACACATAAATAAATAAATAAATAAATAAATAAATGAATGAATGAATGAGAGATAACAGGACCCTAGGCGCTGACTTTAAGATATGAGGAAGAGGATGAACAGGAGGGGAGAGGAAAAGGATGAAGGGGTGATAGTTGGATTGACATTGGTTAAGATATGTTAAATGCGTGCACCAACTTCCCAAAATAAACCCCCTCATTATGGAATACTACAGGCATCAAGAAAACACAATAGAAAGATAAATCCCCCTTGATCATGTTGAATTATCTTTCTAATGTGAAGCTGCATTCATTTTTCTGGAATCTTGTGGAGGAGTTCACATCTGCCTCCTCATGGAGATCATGCTCTTTCCTTCTATTGCCCTTGTCTGGTGTTGGCATCAGGATAATACGGGGCTTGTGAAAGGAACGTGAAAAGATTCCCTTCTTTTCACTACTCGTTTGGAAGAGTTTTGTCACACTATGTGACTGTGGTGGGGCACAGAATGAAAGATTACTTGGATTGGGCCGGGGATCTAGCTCAGTGGTTTCGCTGCCTGCCTCGCAAGTGGAAGGACCCGAGTTCAATCCCTGGTACCAAAAAAAAAACAAAAAAAAAGAAAGAAAGATTACTTGGAGATGAGACTTCAGTTCAGTCACAGAGGGGCCCCAGAGGGGCTGATCCTTCAGCTTAAGAGAGCATCAGGGAAACAGAGCTGAGACCTCTGGGGTTGTATATTGTAACAAGGACATGATCAGGCAGAGGGGACACAACGGCCAAAGCAAACATCTCTGAGAACACACTGCTTTTCACTCTGCACATCTTACATCTTTACTCAAAAGAATGTCAGACAACCAACCATTGCTCAGCTCTGGATAGGTGACATACATTCTTGAGATAGAAGGCAATAAGCTGGTCACTTCAATGAAAATGACAGTCCTTATAAATTTACTGATAAAATTCAAACTTAGAGCCCAAAATTAAAATCTTAGAAAACTTATTTACTGCCACGAGTTTGACAGCTTTCTATCTACTCTAACCAGTGTGACACATCACACTGACTAAAGAAGCACAGAGGAGGAGCCAGATGATTTCCACCAAGCCAAACAATAAACTTGCAAAAATATAAATGTAAAACAGTAATGCCGCTCTGCTATTTTTGGGAAATAGTTATTTTTTATTAAAATGTATTTTTTTTTCTGTTAACATATGATGTTTACTAATTCTTTTAAATTATTTAATAAATAGTTTTTTATACATAGCTTCAATGAAAAATGAAAAAGAAGGGAAGACAATTCCTTTTACAACAACTTCAGAAAAATTAGGTACCTAGGAATTGACATAACCAATGAGATGAACAATCTCTATAATGAAAACTACAGAACTTAGAAAAAAGAGATGGAAGAGGACATTGGGAAATATAAAGACATCCCTTGTTCTTGGATGAGCAGAATTAATATTATTAAAAAGCCATATTGCCACTTTAATAATCTATTAAAGTCATAACAGCATTCTTCACACAACTAGAAAAAATAATCTTAAAATTGATTGAAAGCTGAAGAGACTCGGAATAGCCAAAGCAATTCTGAGCAAAGAGAACAATGTAGGAACTATTAGGATACCAGATTTCAAATTATACTATGAAGCTATAGCAATAAGAATACGGCACTGTCACATAAATAGACATGTAGACCAATGGAACTGAACAAATGACAGAAAAAGCCTCAGTACTTTCAGCCTTCTAATTTTTGACAAAAGGGTCAAAAATGTGTTGGAGAAAAGACGTTTTTAACAAATTTTGCTGGGAAAACTGTATATCCACATGAAGAAATCCAAAGTAGATCCACACCTCTCACCATGTACTAAAAGCAAATCAAAATGGATCAAAGGCCTAGATACAAAAATAGAAACTTTGAAACTGCTGGGAGATAATTTTGGTGAAACACTTGAAGCCATGGACATAGGCAAGGACATCCTGAACAGAACTCCAAGAATAAAGAAATGTTTGATTACATCAAATTAAAATCCTTCTGCAAAGCAAAGGAAACAATCAACAAGAGTGAAGAGACAATCTACAGACTGGGAAGCTTGCCAGCTACTCTTCTCATAGATGACTAATGTGTAGAATATATGAGGAACTAAAAACAATATCAACTTCCCCCAAACAAATGACCCAATCAAAAATGGGCAAATGAATTGAATACACACTTCTCAAAAGAAGTGCAAATGGACAATAAGTAGATGGAAAAATGCTCACACTTTAGCTATTGTGAAGAAGCAAATCAAAACAACTCTGAGATTCCGTTTCTCTCCAGACAGTATGGCTATCATCAAGGACACCAAAAGCCACAAATAGTAGCGAGGATGTGGAGAAAAGGGAACTCTTCTACTGTGCTGGTGGGAATGTCAAGTAGTAGAACCACCCTGGAAATCACCCTCCACCCTTGTGGAGATTCCTCAAAAAGCTAAAAGTAGAAATTCCATTTGACTCAGCTATATTTCTCCTAGCTGTATTTCCAAAAGAATTAAAGAAACTGTACATGTGCTTGCTAAAATTGAAACTATACATACCCATATTTATATTGGTGCAATTCACAGTAGCTTAGCTCTGGAAACAACCTAGATGTCTATCAAAAGAAGAATGGATAAAAAAAATGTGGTATATATACACAGTGGAATATTATTCAGCCACAAAGAGGAATGAGATCATGTCATTTGCAGGAAAATGGATCGAACTTGAGACCAGAGTGTGAAGTGAAATATGTAAGACTCAGGAAGCTAAATATCACATGGTTTCATTTATATGAGAAACCTAAAATATCAATCAATCAAGGGAGAGATGGGAGGAAACAAAAAGGCAGAATTTCTGGAGATGGAGAAGGGGATGGGTGGGGGAAGGCAAATAAGAGGGAATAAAAAATCAGAAATGATCAAGGTAGATTAATGTTCTATGCATGTACCAGTTCCCCAAATGAATATCAGTATTATGCATTGGAAATGTACACTAATGAAATTAAAATGAATAGCTGCTAATTAAAAAAATAAACCAATAATTTCTCTGTGTCTCTCTGTCTCTAAAAGAACACAATACTAACAGTTTGGTATTGGTACCACTGCCTTGGTCGGTTCTCAGGGGGCAGCAGTGTTTCCCAAAATTGTGTTTCCACATCCGTGCAAATGTCAACATGATAAAAAGGTAAGCAATGTCAGCGTTATTATGAAAATCTTTTTGAGCCTAGGAGCCCCCATCACCTAAGGAACACATACTGAAAAGATGGCAGGGCTGCTTTTGCTATTCTGGGTATCTTGGTTGCACACAACTTTGGGGTTGTTCTCTCACGTTCTAGGACGAATGCTGTTGGTATGTTGATTGGGATTGCATGTGGGTTTTTGTGATACCAAAAATTTGATTTTTCCTTTGAGCCTTGCTCTGCTAAGGATTTATGTTCTTCATCAAGTCATTTTATTATTTCTGCTGTGATTCTTCCAGCCAAACCCATAGAAATGAAGAAATAATAGTTTATTTCAAATATGTATTATTTAGGCTGTTCACATATCAGATAGAAAGTGACATCACCTCATCACTAACTGGTAAAAGTGTTCTACAATTCATTAATTGTGAGAAGCATCATGTATCCCCCTAGTCTCGCAGAAGACATTCACAGACCCTGTGTAGTCATCAAATGACACATTTCCGCCTGATGAGCCTTTCTGAGCTTCAGTGTTGGAGGAATCGGGGCAGGAAGTCTCCAGGTGGCTCACTCCCTGGTAAGTGAAGCCTTGTGGTGCTCAGGTAAGGAGGAAAATGGAGGCAGCTGAGCAGGGAATGCCGCCTAGAATCGCTTAAACTTGCTGCGGGCCATTCCCTGAGCCAAGCTGTTCTGGAGGTCCGCCCAGATGAGGGTCTCCTCGGCGTCGGAGGGCTCGATTCTCCTTGCTGTCTTGATTTGGCCTTGCTCTGGCCTTCCTGGGGAGATGGACGGTAAAGGGCCATTCAGGGAAGGTGTCCCTGAGGGGTGTTCAGAATGACTGCTTTCCATCCTGGTGGCTGCCTGAGGAGATGGGATCTTGTTTTAGTTTGCTGGAAGAGAAGTTGTGTTGACACAGTGGCCACGTTGTGTTTTCCTGCCTAAATGTCTGAGTTCCCAGGGTGTTTCTGGCCCACCTTCTCCATCTCTCTCCCTCTTGTCTGTTTTGGTCTTTGTCTTGATCCTCATTTGCAGAAAGTCCTTGGGTCTGAGTCTGCCTACCTTTGCAAGCCCACTGCCCATTGCTGGTACTTGATTGGACTGTAAGAAACTTGGTTGTATCTGAACTGGAATTCCTGCTTTTGGGCTCTTCCTATTTCCGCTCTTGATGATATTGCTTTGCCCTTCATCCAGGGCAAATTCATCAATGGTCCACAAAGCCAATAGGCTAAAGCTAAAGCAAGTCCATTCTGCAAGTTGATTCTGATAGATCTTTTCAGTTTTTCCTGATATCCAAATGCTTCCCAGTCTTAAAACCTGATTAAATATCATCTACTCTAAGGCAGTATTTCAGTATTCCTTTTCGTGTTAGTTTTTCCTTTTTTGCTTATTTATTTCATAGTAGACTTGTCTGTTTTATTCTATTTGAAGTGGGGTCTTTTTTGAAACTGACATATGAATTTCTTATATATCCACTTGACATCAAAGGCCTTTGTGAGCAAGGACCAGCTGTCATTACAGTTTCTTTCCACTTTATCTAAGATTAATCCTTCACAATGCCTAGGCCAGTGCAGCACCGTGAAGCTGCTAATTACTGATCTGCGGAGCACCTGCTGGGTGAGGGCGGTGGCTGGTGACTTCCGGCCGTCTGGGAGGAGGAGAAAGGGCGTTCAGGCCTGGGTCCTAGGGTGATTCTGCCTCAGTGGATGCATCCAGCAGCGGTGTGGGGTTCCCAGGATTCATCCCAAGTAACTCCTGCCATCTTTGAGAGCCCACCACAGAACGCCAGAGTGAAACTTGACTCCATTGGCGTAGGCAGCAGCAGGGAGTCAAGAGCGAGCTTCCTGTTCTCATCCATCTAATCCTACTCATTCAAACTTTTTTCTCTAGGCAAGATTTCCCTGAGCATTTTGTCTAGGCGATGTTAGAATACCGCTTTAAAGACGTGAAGAGATGTGACTCAGAGGTTACGGTCACTGATGTAGAACACCTGACTTCTTTCTTTCAGAAAATTGTTTATCTTCGGGTTCCAATATTGTTGGAGGTCTCAGTGGCCACCCTATCCCTAACTATATTTGTTTCATATTTGGAGGACTCAGCTGTCTCAAATGAATCCATTGAAAATGATGATTCTTGGCTTCTTGAAGATTTCAGTGTAGAGCAAAGAATGAGCTTCATAACAGAATGTGCATAGAGCTTCCACCCTAGGTAGCAAATGTTCTCTTTGGCTGAGATTCTTTCTAGTTTCTGGTGCTCTAGGTATGAATTCCACCATCACTGCCTTACCTTTCTCCTCCTCCTCCCTCTCCAAAAAGTATTCTGGGAATGTGTCTCTCCCAATGCATCATGGCTCCTTCCTTTATGCTCAGCTCTAGATATAGCACTTTCTATGAAATCTAATTTATTTAGGAGGAAGTAAGGGGGTTATCAGATTTTTATAATCCTTGCATGTTGATCATCCCCGAGCCCCCATGAAATACCTGAAATCTAGGTATTTGGATGCATATTTTGGGAAAATAATGATAATATGAAAAACCATTGTATGCTATTTTTTAAGCCATAGTTACCCTTGGCAGGAGGAGAAAAATGCCTCTTCGTTGTTACAAAGGGCAGAGTTAAATGTTCTTGGAGATCATCCTGGGAGTGGATCACAGCTGACACTTTCGTGCATGGCTTTTTCCGTAGTGAGAATATATTGTTCTCTGGAGTGGTTGGTGGTCTCTGTCAGCCCACACAGGTATAGCAGAAGCAACCCTTATATGTTTGCGGATGAATTAGCTCTGGGCCAGAGCTGCCTGGCGACGGAGATACAAACCTATGTGTATCGTTTTGTGTACCTTGTTAGTGCTTGTGGCATCAGGACACAGGTGAGCATGGAAGTTACTTGTAGAAATGCTTAATGTTTGTCACACCTTTGTGCCTTGTGTTAAAGTTATTGTCCTTTTGCAAAGTTTGTCTTTGCTCCTGGTTTTAGTAACTGACAGGCAGATAACAATGGAGTTCTTTACTAACACTGGGCCATGACTGAGAGTGCACAGGACCCTATAGCACAGGTCTCCAGCCTGGTTAGAGGGCTGACCATAAGTGCTCCCAAGGCAACACTCCTCTATCTCACTGAAGCTTAGGAGGCAGCTTTAAATTTCATTCATTACTCTGATGTGCAAGGCCATCAATATGAAGGTGTCCAAAATCTACCCATGCTCCATGAGGATATATATCACACAGGAAGATGGCTTTCATAAGACTAAAACCTCTGTTGGCTATTTGGTTAGGCAAGAATATTAAACTGTGTTTTTATTCTGGGATATTACCTTTTTGTAGATTCCCAAATTTCAACAATTTATATTTATATTACATTAATTTTTGTCCCAATAACTGATTATGTAAGTAAAGTCTGAAACTAGAGTACTGAAGATTTTTTAGAAGGTACTTTAACAATTTTTCCAGGGTTGCTCAGAGAGTTGGTGGAGATTAAGATACCAAATCAGAATGATTACCTCCAAAATTTGTGGTTTAAATCACTCTATTTAATGTTCCAATCATCTTTCTGTTGAAAACTTTTATTAACAAACCATAAAGTTAGTTCTAAGTGTCAGTTCAAGTTTATTCCTATGTACAGTTAAGATTTCCCTGCCCAGAAGGACTTTAAAACCACACATATGAGTAATGCTCATCTTCTTAATTTGGCCTTGCACTGGCCTTTGCAGGTATCCAGGAGGGACACAGCCACATCTGAGATTGCGAGTGTTTTCCACTCGTGTTCACGTTGTGTATGGTTCTTCTGTTACTAGAAAACTCTTCTCCTGTTTCTCCTGTGTGCTTCCCCAGGTGATCTCCGAGAATGTTCTTCTTATTCAAACGGAGCTGTACTACACCCCGAGGGATGGTCACAGCAACCCCGAGAAGGCCTTCTTGACGTGTATCACCTCTCAGTGAGTTCTGCACACTCAACTCATTTGAAATGCTTTTCATCCACCCGGTTTTAGCCTTAGGTTTTGAAGAAGTATAGATTTTTGAGACTATAGCATGAGACTCACCTATAATCACAACTCAAACAAATCCCAAACATAAAAATATTTACAAGAATATTTCAGTGGATACTCTTTTTTAAATGTAATATTTATTTTTAAAATCAAAACATAGTTGGAAGTGTCCTCACAAACAATCTAGTGTAACTAGGTTATTTTAAGTAACTCAGTGACAAAGCAAAGTCACAAACCTTTGGTAAATGGGACACTTGGGCATCGCCCTGTGATGTTTCCACCTTCATAATACTCTGCTGATACATTTTGTTGTTTAGTTCCATGTTAGAACAGGAGGTGGCCCGAGCCTCCATAGGAAACCAGTCCTTCATTTTCCACCACTGGCTGAGGGAGATGTACGGAAGGAGTAGCAGGTCAGCCCGATCCCTAAATACATCTGCTTGCAGCCTGTGAAGCTGAGATATCGAACGTTCCAAGGACCCTGTACAAACTCCGAGTCTAAGTGGAATGTTATCTTTTTTTTTCCCATTAAGTGTATTGGTACATTTTCGGTATAAAATACAGTTACATTCATCATTGGGATCTTGTACCATTACATGAGT